TTTTGTCTAAGTTCTCGTTAAAAAGGAAACATACTATTTTTTCAACTTGCTTAAAACTTGATTACTTCAACAACCTTTGATCGATAGTTTGAAAATAATCTCACGATCTTTATAAAAGTCGCAAGTTTTTGAAGGACAGATTGAAAATAATTGACCTTTTAATACTGTCCCCCAGTGTCACAGCGGTATGTCAGCGGACTTACAACGCTAGAAACCGGTTTCGATACCCGTTGTGGGCAGAGCACAGATAACCCATTGTGCAGCTTTGGGCTTAACTTCAAAACAGACTCTCCTTTAATACTCATGAGTAATTCATATCGAACAGCCAACAACTGTTATCGACATTAGGTCAACAAATCTACCAAACGTTTTCCATCATTGTCAGATCTCTCCGATAAAAATCACAATTCTTGTGTTATTACATTGATAAAACTTTGAAGGACCTTATAATGCTCAGATGATTACAAGAAAATCAAAAAATGCTTTAAATTGATCGAATACCAAATGGTCACAACAAAGTGCAAACATTTCAGTACTTGCCAGAATCGTTAGGAACAAAAATTTTCATTGTCCATTTCCTGTTGAAATTGGAATTAAGGTTAAAATACTTATGAGAAATTATTGACGTAACCCATCATAATTTCAGAAATTATTACGTATATGAAATGCATCTACCAACACATGAAAATGCACCAAATACCAAATTATTCAAAAACTTCTAAAATATTTTAGTATTCATTTGCTTTCCTGGTATCGTCAAGCTTAATAGTTGAAACGAACTGAATTTTTCCAACATGAATATTGTACTAAATTATATTTGGTGAAATGGAAGTTTATAATTACACTTTACAATGTCCTTCAACTTACCTTCCCCATCGTCAATCGGATACACTTTACAATGTCCTTCAAAGTTACCTTCCCCATCGTCAATCGGATACACTTTACAATGTCCTTCAAAATTATCTTCCCCATCGTCAATCGGCTAGACTTTACAATGTTTTGTGATGTCCTTCAAAGTTCCCTTCCCCATCGTCAATAGGATACACTTTACAATGTCCTTCCAAATTACCTTCCCCATCGTCAAACGGATACACTTTACAATGTTTTGTGATGTCCTTCAAAGTTCCCTTCCCCATCGTCAATAGGATACACTTTACAATGTCCTTCCAAAT